GAACAGCTACTCAAACAACTGCTGCCTTGTAGTTTGTTCTTGGTTGGACAAAGGCTATGGAAGCCAATCCAAAAAAAAAAGCAGTCTGAAATCGGAGTCCATGGCCTATATGACCAGTTGACACGTAAAACTTAATGGTGTTGGAGGGAATCCATTTCAACATTATAATTAAGAACGAAGAAGAAGGGAAGTTTGGTAATGTGGCACTAAATTTAGGGATAAAGTGTAGCATTAACCGTGTAGCGTGTCCGTAAATTAAAGTTACCAAAAGAGGTTAACATTAATAGTGTAGCGAGTAAGTGAACAAAGTAAAGATATTTCTCCCATCTCCTCTGCTCTACTCTTCACCCCCCCCCCCCCCCCAGCATCTCCCGTAAGCTCAAGGCCAAGGTAGTATACTTTATAGTATACAGTTCGTACTCTCTTATTATCGATTAATACCAAATTTACCATCTATAATGGTGTTTCTCTTCATTTTAAATTACGTTACAAAAACAGCTGAGGTAGTATTTAAAAAGGCAGGAGGTGGAACGGATAAATGGTATTTTAATTGGAGAAAGTGCTCTGAGATACGAGCAAATAAGAGCTAGCTTTTTACTGAACAAATTAAATTTGTTTCTCAAGGTACCAGTATACCTATACACACACACACGCATATATACATATACATATATATATATATATATATATATATATATATATATATATATATATATATAAAATATATAAAAAATGTATGCATTTGTATGTGTTACTGGGGAAAATATCTCATCTGTACGTGTCCAGTGCGTTCAACAGTTTTAACACATCCGGGTGTTATACAACTAATTGAAACTGGAGACGTGTGTGACGTCATGATGAACGGAGATTAGCACTCGATGTAACAGACACACGGGGTGGGGGGGGGGGCGGGTTGGGTAATGATACTCCGGGCGTTTTATTTATCAAAGAAAATCAATGGGTACAGTTTTTTTCTGTTTCCATCCCCTCTGTAAGTCTAAGGCCGGGTAGGGAGAAGTCCTACAGTGTTGTTTGAATGTCGCGTACTAAGCTGGTCTTAAAGGGACAAAAGGCCGACATGGACCAAAGGCCGATAGCCAAAAGGCCGAAAGGACATAATCCGACAGGATATAAGGCCGACAGCCATAAGGCAGACAGCCAAAAGACCGACTGACCATAAGGCTGACAGACCATAAAGCCGACAGACCATAAGGCCGACAGACTATGAGGCCGACAAACCATTTTGGATGTCGGCCTTTTAGCAGTCGGCCTTTTGTCTTGTCGGATTTTTGTCTTGTCGGCCTTTTGTCCGTGTCGGCCTTTTGTCCATGTCGGTTTTTTGTCCGGATCCCGTCTTAAAGTTAAGAAAATACACTGAAAAATACACATACATACGTAAAGATGTATCTAGTATTAAACTTGTGAATACAAAACGTAATGATCACATGTACCGACTGGGAGTAAAGAAACTAGTAAAAAATCTTGTTGTAATATATTGTTGTTGTAATGTATAGTCTATGTTTATAAGGTGAAATATCCTGCATCAGCACTAAACTAATGTGGAGTGTAAGCTTCGAACAACCGCTACCAACATACTGTCTTTCTGTCAAAGGGTAATAACTAATATACCCGAGGGTTTTAATTAGGGACTGAGGAAACCCATATATTAAGGGATAAGGACACTAGTAGTCTGCTTAGGATAGGGACTCGATACGTTACACTTATCAGCACTCGTGTATGGTAAGTTCTAAATAAAAAAACATTAATCAAATTTTAGGTTAGAATTATTGTTATCAAACGAATAATAAATACCATAAATCAAATATTAGGTTAGAATTATTGTTATCAAAACGAAAATAAAAAACATGAATCAAATATTAGGTTAGAATATTGTTATAAAAACGAAAAATAAAATAAAAACATGAATCAAATTTTAGGCTAGAATTATTGTTATCAAAACAATAAATAAAAACATGAATCAAATTTTAGGCTAGAATTATTGTTATCAAAACAATAAATAAAAACATGAATCAAATATTAGGTTAGAATATTGTTATCAAAACGAAAAATAAAATAAAAACATGAATCAAATTTTAGGCTAGAATTATTGTTATCAAAACAATAAATAAAAACATGAATCAAATTTTAGGCTAGAATTATTGTTATCAAAACGAAAAATAAAATTAAAAAATTAATCAAATTTTAGGCTAGAATTATTGTTATCAAAACAATAAATAAAAACATGAATCAAATATTGAGTTAGAATATTGTTATCAAAACGAAAAATAAAAAACATGAATCAAATATTAGGTTTGTATTATTGTTATCAAAACGAAAAATAAAAACATGAATCAAATATTGGGTTAGAATATTGTTATCAAAACGAAAAATAAAAAACATGAATCAAATATTAGGTTAAGAAGCAATCCCAACACAGCTCATGTCGCCATATTTATTTTCCACCCAAGTTCCCCGTCACGAACAGTAAATAAATAATGAGCCAATTAGGAGTTAAAAGCCGATCTATGTTTCTTTCTAAAGGTTGTAGAGCGTGGACGGCTATGGAGGAATAAATCATGGAGAATCAAAGAATTATTCCTCACTCTTTTCCTTCCTCTCTTGCTAAGACTCCCAGAGTTTCTCCACTTTCTAGATTGTTCTATTTCCTCTCCTACATGCTATGTTCATTTTTATCAAATGTCACTAGCTCCTGAATTGTAGGATAAAAATAATTAATCTCGGTGTTTACTTGACTGAACAACAATCACAGCTTAGGTGCCTCGCACCCTCAACCCAGCTCTAAACTAGGCAATGTAAACAGTTTGATGCTAACGGTCCAATAGTTTGTCGCTAATATCTGTCTGATTTTACCAACCCGAAATGTCAATAATCATTGAATAATCTACTTGATTTTACAAGGCCTAACTGAGTTAAGTAAATGGTTTATTTATATTTCCCTCCTAAATCTTAAATTTTAACAATATTTTTTCTTAAAACAAACCCACACAAAATCGCTGTTGAATTTTTCTTAAAACATCGTTATTTTTCCAAAATCTTGTCTGAACTCTGTCAACATAGAGTATTTTCATCAATTCCTATTACAGTTTCTTACATAGCTTTTTTATAATGCAAAAAAGTGACGTCACACCATCTGAATCCCCCCTCCCCCTCATCACACACCGTCACAAAATTACGGACCCCCTACGAGTGTGACGTCATTTATGAACGACCCCTAATCAGTAATCCTTCTTTAATCCTGCTTCTGATAATCTCGGTGTAATTTCCTTAATCTTCCCTGTCAACGACTCTGTCTAATTACTTTAATGTCAGCCATCTTGGTCTAATTTCCTTAATCCTCCTATTGTCAAATTGTTTCAAATTTCAGCGTAGAACTTAAAAAACAAAAATTAATTAAACATTTCTCAAAGAAACATCTTGTCAACTTCGTTTCAAGATTGAAACGAGCAAAGAAAACTATCTTAAGCCTACCATAGGCTAATGAACTGGTTCTGTGGAAAATATTTCACAAAGACGGCCGACGGAGGCAGCTCTGTAGTATATCCATGACGCTATATTGAACTAAATAGAAAAAATACACACGACTGTATTGCTGATCTCAATATAGGCCTAAGCTGCTTGTGTTTTGCTCAAGCTAAAAAGTATTTTAATCGTACTTTTCATATTAGGAGGTCCATTGAACAGATCAAGTAGAGTGCATCTGGCATTTTATTCCTCATCATGCGAAAATATTTTTGTCAAATGTTTCAAAGAAAATTATTATAAAAAAATATATTAAAAATGTATGATGTGTAATTAAAGACAAATTAGAATCAAGATAGTTATTATTCCTATGTGATGGCGTCGGATCTTTAGTTATTAAAGGTTGTATTTTAATTTATATTTTGAGGAGGTAATGCTAATACGTTGTTTTGATGTTTTATTGGTGTACCAGTTTGTAAAATAAACTCAATCTAAATTGTATGGGGTCTGGCGAGTCTTTCATTCCGTGTGTTGACAACATACGATCAAATGTCGCCACTTCATGTTCGGTGTTGTTGGTGTAGCTGCGTTAGGTTCAGGTGGAAGTGGGGGGAGGGGGGGGGGGTTCGTGTGTTATTGGTGTTGTGTTAATTTCATTTGGAGAGGGGGATCATGTTGCGTTCAGATGGGGGGAGGGGGATCAGGTTGCGTTCAGATGGGGGGAGGGGGATCAGGTTGATGGAAATGTAAAGGACGAATTGAAAGGGTGGTGTCGAATTAAAACTTGTTAGGCTAATGTGGTTTGAATATCCTATGCTGGGTGACATTTTATCGGTCTTCTCCGGTTACCTGAATGTTCCGGTGACGTCAATGTTCAGGTGGCATCAATACATATATATATATATATATATATATATATATATATATATATATATATATATATATATATATATATATATATATATATATATATATATATATATATATATATATACATATACATGGGATGATTGGCTAGAAGGTGGAGATAGGGGGGGGGGGACAAAAGTTGAGTGAGAAAATGTTTGACATTCGCAGGACCAAGACAACAAGTCCCATGCCAATGGCTACAGCAGAGAGAAAACATTAGTCATCCTGGGAGGAGGTGTGGAGAGGAGGGAGGAAGGAGAGTTTATGGGAGGTCCATTGTGTAGTAATAAATATGGCACACAATGCAGACTTAGGTTGTCTTATAGGCATGTGTTTCTGTGTGAAGCATCTACACATGTGTTTCGTATGTTTTCCCCTCATCATTATAAGCATATTCGGATGTGTGTTATATCTATTACATAAGTGTGTTTATGTGCATGTCCGCTGTGTGTGTCACGCACGAAGGACTGTTTTTGGAGCTACAACTATCTTCCAGAGGCACATCGCTATACTATTATCGTTCTATCTTAATTAACTTCACGCGCGACCTAGTTCTAGTCAATACCCCCCCCCCCCCCCTCACCCAATGATTCAAGATTAAATGACCGTTGATGAAGAATGGATCTTCACCTGTCAAGAGCCAAGAGACTGCTTCTGTCGGCTTCTCCGATGGTCCAGTTTCCAAAACTTTGGAACTTGGGTATATAGAGCAAAAGGTCCACCAACATCAAATAACTTGGGTATTCAGACTAAAGATTCACCAAGATCAACTAACTTGTGTATTCAGACTAAAGATTCACCAAGATCAACTAACTTGTGTATTCAGACTAAAGATTCACCAAGATCAAATAACGTGTGTATTTAGACTAAAGATCCACGAAGATCAAATAACGTGTGTAATTCAGACTAAAGATCCACCAAGATCAAATAACGTGTGTAATTCAGACTAAAGATCCACCAAGATCAAATAACGTGAGTATTCAGACTAAAGATCCACCAAGAGCAAATAACGTGTGTATTCAGACTAAAGATCCACCAAGAGCAAATAACGTGTGTATTCAGACTAAAGATCCACCAAGATCAAATAACGTGAGTATTCAGACTAAAGATCCACCAAGAGCAAATAACGTGTGTATTCAGACTAAAGATCCACCAAGATCAAATAACGTGAGTATTCAGACTAAAGATCCACCAAGATCAAATAACGTGAGTATTCAGACTAAAGACCCACCAAGATCAACAAACTTGGGTATTCAGACTAAAGATCCACCAAGATCAAATAACGTGTGTATTCAGACTAAAGATCCACCAAGAGCAAATAACTTTGGTATTCAGACTAAAGATCCACCAACATCAACTAACTTGGGTACTTAGACTAAAAATCCACCAAGATCAACTAACGTGTGTATTCAGACTGAAGATCCACCAAGATCAACTAACTTGGGTATTCAGACTAAAGATCCACCAAAATCAACGAGCTATGGTGTCAAATAGATCAACCTCTGGTCATGTTGAGTCTATCTTGAAAGTGTTGTTATACAGCGGACAAGGGAACTATGAAACGGTATTAATCAAACGTGATATATTGGTCAATGTGTTGAGTCTATCAGGATCGTTTTTATGGTGGGAAACTTGGGAATGTACGGTTGTTATTGGAGCTGGAATCGCCTGTTAGCGCTCACTTAAATCTGTTCTTGTGTGGCGAGATAGAGAACCTTGGCCATGAGATGACGATCATAAAACCACAGGATTAGAATACATGACAGTAAATAATGGATTCGGTTTTGCGTGGTAACTGTTAGGATTAGGATTAGGGTTAGGGTTAGGGTTATCTCAAGGTTTAGTGCAAGAATAGTTCCACACTGTGTTTATGGTTGTTGGTAATGTGTGAGTGTGTTATTTGAATGTGCGTGTGAATTTGCGTGTGAGTTTGCGTGAAGGTGTAAGTGAAGGTGTAATTGTGAGTGTGCGAGTGAGTTTGCGTGTAAGTATACGTATGCGTGTAGGTGTAAGTGTGAGTCTACGAGTGAGTGTGAGTGTGAGTGTAAGTGTTAGTGTGCGAGTGAGTGTAAGTGTGAGTGTGAGTTTGCTTGTGAATGCGTGTGAATTTATGAGTTTGCGTGTAGGTGTGCGTGTAGGTGTGCGTGTAGGTGTGCGTGTAGGTGTACGTGTGAGTGTGAGTGAGTGTGAGTAAGCGTGAGTACGTGATACACGAACATACTTTTTAAAACTCAGCTCAAGCGTAATTAATTAATTTTATTTTTATTCCCTGACAAAGCAAGTCGCACATATTATTTCACACATTTTTTTCCTCTCCGGAAAACACCGGCATGTCCCTCTGCCTATATAAGAAGCCGGGGAATATCCCGACAAACATAAAAATAAAGCTTCCTGTAAGATTGTTTCCTATAAAACCTTACGTTTTTCTAGGGTTAATTAATTTTTTATATCGACATACGTCTGTAATTATCATCATGACGTGTTCGGAGATATAGATTACATTTTTTTTAAACGTGCAGAATTTGACGAAAGAAAATTGTTTGAGGTATTTGGAATCTTTGTTTTTACTTTTAAAACTGATATTGGAACTAAAAATGTATGGAGCAAAAAAGTTGAATGATTAAATAATCCTCTCTTCAAACACAAATGATACTGGTATCATGACTAAAGATAATCACATGATATCGGCATGCATTGATGTGTTGTTCTATATTCTACAAATATCATGTCAACATGTTTTGATATTTTGTACTATATTCTACAAACATCTAGGTAATAAAGTGTCTATTTAGGACACGATGCACCCAATCGATAGTTACAATAAACAAAAGAGTTTTTGTAAAACTATCGCCGGATAAAATAACTGATGAATCACGTAGGTGTAGTTACAACAAATAACATTCAAATTGTTTAGGATCGTGTCAACTGTATATGGTAAACAACCATTTCTTATGGGTGACCAAAGTGTTATTTCTCGTCGTCAAGATCTGAAAAGAATATATATATATATATATATATATATATATATATATATATATATATATATATATATATATATATATATATATATATATATATATATATATAAGGCTGGTGGAAGTGTGTCAGTCACTTCCTCCGTCCGCCAGTCATTCCGTCATCGCTATAGATTTTGGAACCATAAAAGTAAACATCGAACCATGTAAAGGGCTGCTGCCACACCTCTTCTCCTAGGATTTGAGCAACTCTCTTTACTTGTACCCACGTGAGCTCATGTAAGAATTAGAATATATGGAGAGTGCGAAAAGTTGAGGGTCACTTGTTTAACAAATTGTAGCATTCTCGGGATTTTAAAATTCCGATGCTCGCTTCTACTTATACTCTGTTTGCTTGCCTCCCTCCCACCCCCACCCCACACCCCCATACCCTCCCTCCCACAACACACACCTGTTTATATTGACCACATTTTTTGAATCCATTAGTGAGTAGGGAAGCGGCACTGTGGCAAATACTTTCAATTGTCCTGCACGCAAGGTATCCATCACGGATATGACGTCACTGCCAGTTGATATCCCAGAGTTCCGCGTCAAAACGTGTGGTCGCCGTGTCAAGGTCACCATGGACGTACGAGGATAAACGGCTGGAAATTGCTCGTGCGACCGTGTAATAGGAGACGTAACCAATCACTGCACACGGCGTAGAACATGTGTATCAAGAACTCGACCCCCCCCCCCTCTACCACGGGGTAGAACATGTGTATCAAGAACTCGAACCCCCTCCCCCCCCCCCCCCTCACTAACACGGTGTAGAACATGTGTATCAATCTCCCACCACCTTCCGTAGATTGAACCAATCACTCCACGCGGTGTAGAACATGTGTATCAAGAACTCGAACCCCCCCCCCTCTACCACGGTGTAGAACATGTGTATCAAGTACTCTACACCCCCCCCCACTCTACCACCACCATCCGTAGAATAGGAAACTGGGCTGAAATATCTAGACCAGCGACCCATAGCAGAATCCTTAGACTTACCTGATGACTAAAATACCAAACTCTTTGAACACGGGTTCTTTCAGACATTTATGTTTCTCTGGAGGGGGAGGGGGGGGGGCATTTGAAACTTCCGGTGTGCTTACTTAAAATTTCCGGAGGGCGGAAACTGGTTAAAGTATATATTTTCTACAAAAATGACAGATTTTTTTCCTATTTCGTTTGAGAACGGGGGGGGGGGGGGGATATAGGTGCATAAAAGAAACTCTAGCTGCGACGAACCGCGTATCCTACAATCAAATGCCCAATGATTAGACTTCCGGGTAGCCGAAACAGACGTGTATGTGTTTCAAATAAAAAATAAATTCATAGCGGTCTCCAATATTCAGGAGATTGAGAAGATTTATGTAGAATATCCAGGAACCCGGAATAAAAATCAATGCTGGAAAAGGCATAGCCAGCGTCTATTTCAAGAAAAAATCTTCTTATAGACAAATACTACAAAATAGAATACAGAAATAGTCAGTTGTTTACTATATGATAGAAGACACAATATAAGTAAATATAAGAAATTAATCTGAAAATATTCACCCATATATATATATATATATATATATATATATATATATATATATATATATATATATATATATATATATATATATATATATATATATATATATATATATATATGCGGTGTAAAGGCCTAATTGCACCGCTACTTCACAATTTCTCTTTCTCACGATCCTCTTATTTTAACGCTCTCTATTAATCCCCGAGATCCGAATTCTTCCGGCGAATTAACGAATCTGCCCTCGCTAATGTCAGGCTCTTCAACGATTCTAATTATTCTGTCAATGTGCTGCTTAGTTCAGACCCGTCTTTGATGGGCTTAAGGTCGTTAGATTTTACATGTTTCTTTCTTGTCTAGGCTCTGTTCTTTAGGCCAGTCTATTTCTTGTCTAGGCTCTGTTCTCTGGGGCAGTCTATTTCTTGTCTAGGCTCTGTTCTCTAGGCCAGTCTATTTCTTGTCTAGGCTCTGTTCTTTAGACCAGTCTATTTCTTGTCTAGGCTCTGTTCTCTAGGCCAGTCTATTTCTTGTCTAGGCTCTGTTCTTTAGGTCAGTCTATTTCTTGTCTAGGCTCTGTTCTTTAGGTCAGTCTATTTCTTGTCTAGGCTCTGTTCTCTAGGCCAGTCTATTTCTTGTCTAGGCTCTGTTCTTTAGGCCAGTCCATTTCTCATCATGGCTATGTGCTTTTGGCCAATCCATTTCTCATCATGGCCCCGTTCTTTAGGCCAGTCCATTTCTCATCATGGCCCTGTGCTTTAGGCCAGTCCATTTCTCATCATAGCCCTGTTCTTTAGGCCAGTCCATTTCTCATCATGGCCCTGTTCTTTAGGCCAATCCATTTCTCATCATGACCCTGTTCTTTAGGCCAATCCATTTCTCATCATGACCTTATGCTTTATACCAGTCTCATCGTTGCTCTCTGCTGTTGTTTAGAACATCATGTATTACAAAAAGCTTGACTTTTCCCAGACAGTAAGTTTATTAAAACAAACGTTAAAGCCAAAATAAAATTAACAGTTTCTTACGCATCTGTGAAAAAACATTTTCTATCCTTCGTGTTAATTTAGCGCATCCATTCTACGAGTCTTAACACAGTCTAAACACAGCGCTATAACAATGTCTTAACTTCGTGTTTATATAGTGCATCCAATCTACGAGTCGACGTTTATATGTGAGACACCAGTTACACAAAAATAGGTTTACTTAACATTGTCGAGAAAATGTGAGAGTTACGCTAAAATATAGATTAACTTAACATTGGCAAAATTGTGACAGTTGTACAAAAAATAGATTTACTTAACATTGACTAGAAAATGAGAGAGTTGTACAAAAATATAGATTTACTTAACATTGACAAGGAAATCAAGGAAATGTGAGTCATACAAAAATATAGATTCACACAGCATTTACAAGAAACTTAATCCCCCATCAGAAACGCAGCAGTCTCCTGTTTTAAGGCTAATTATTTATATCAAGGAAGAAGCGAAATCGATAAGTCGGGATATTTTAGACACAACTTTAAACTGTTGCAAAATATGAGAAGGGTTTCGTTACCCAAGAGTCGGTTTATGTTTGTGTTAGAAATAAAACACGGAGCTTTGGGTACTGTTGTAGGATTTATTATTAGGACTTACTATGTGGCACTTAATTATAAATTGGCGTAGGACTTATTGTTAGGACTTTGTGCGACATACTATTTTACTATAACTGCTGTAGGACCAATTGTTAGAATTGCTAGGACTTCGTATGTGATATAACTCTATTATGGTAAAGTTTACTTTTTAAACCTGACGGTTCATGGGACAAGTGAAGTAGAGACCATCTGTTTCTTT